GCTGTAAATCTTTACGGGAGCAGAAAGCCTCATCTTTCTCCTGTGGAACAGCTGGTAGTTTCAAACTGCTGACCCTGAGGTTAGCAGCCCAATTCGTAACCACACTACCAAAACTCCTTCGGAAACCCTATAGAGGGTCGCAATGAGGCGGAACTGACAGGATGGCAGTGGGTGAGTGCCAGCTTTAAGGAGCCATGATGGCACAATGACTTAAGCGTTGGGCAGCTAACCACAGGGTCAGTGGTTCAAAAGCACCAGGTACTTCTGGAGAGAAAAATGAGGCTGTCTGCTCCCGTAAAGCTCAAAGGAGCAATTCTCTGTCCTATCAAGCCACTGTTGAGTCATAATCAACTAGTGGCAGTGGGTTTGGTTTGTTTCTGGTGCTAGATTCACAGGATGGTCAGAAGTTCTCTCTGCCCGATTGACTTGGCTTCCTGTCCATGGCAGTACTATCTCAACCCCTAAGTCTCTTATGGTCCTAACTCCATTTCAGTATCTGCTTTTAGGGAGACCCACACGGATGTTGGGGAGTCCTGGTGTGGTGCTGTGGGCTAATGAGCCAGACTGCAAAGTTGTTTGAATGGCAAGGTCAGTGGTTCAAGCTCACCAGCTGCTTGGAAACCCTATACAGGGTTGCTATGGGTTGGAATCAACTCGATGGCACTTAACAACAATAACATTATATGTCATGCCTGATCCCTCTCCCCTGGAGCCTTGCTGGCTCCACCCCAGTTTCTCACAGACTGCATGCCTGTCACCTCTGGAAAGGCAAGGTTGACGACCCAAGCTGCCTTGTCCCCAACCCCCAAGTCATGGTGCAGCTTTCCTGGGGTCTCTCTGTCCCCAGCAGAAGTCAAAGCTAAAGTGGCTCAGGATATTGTCCCACCATCTCACCTGAGTCAGGAGGCCTGCCAGCCGGAAAGCAGGCCCACCTCTACACTCAGGACCAGCTTACCCTGACCTTGCTACATCAGCTCCACTGAGCAGGCCCTCAACTCGGGCTTCCTCTACCTCCCTCTTCCCCTCCAAACTTCTCTCCTTCCTTCTCAGTGCAAATTCCACCCCCTCCCAGGTACAACACTGATCTTTCAGCAACTCCTCCTCAGCTGTCGCTCACTAACCAGCTTCCAGCTCCTTATCTTCTTCTTCTCCCCATGGCCTGGGAACACACTCAGACCTCCTCATGGTAAGAAAGTCAAGACATCCCTCCCTGCCTATCTCCTTCCTGCCCTGCCACGATTGCCACGCTCACAGCCTCTGCTTCACAACCCCGTCCTCAACTTATTCCTTACCTTCAGACCCTTTGCCCCAGCATCTCTCCCAGGGGTCCTCACAATTATAGTCTCTTTCAGCTTCCATCTAACTGGCCTGATGACTGCTTCTAACCGTCCCTCACACTCCCACACTCTTGCCTTCTGATACACTCTCCTGCTCTGACTTCCTTAATGAACGAATGAGTTAGCTCATACACTAGGGAGTATTTGCTGGCTTATATGTAAGATCCAGGAGTCCTGGTGTGCCGCTGTGGGTTAATGTGCCAGACTGCAAAGCCATCTGAACCACAAGGTCGGCGGTTCAAGCTTACCTGCTGCTCCTCGGAGACCCTATACAGGGTCGCTATGGGTCAGAACCGACTTGACAGCATTTAACAACAACAACAACATTATATGTATGATCCAGGACAATCCCAGGAGGCAGTGGCCATAACTGCCCCTCCATGTGAAGCTTCAAGCAGAGTTTGCCCAGGTAGGACTGTGGAGCCCCTAAGAGCTCTGGCGTGGTTCTCTTTGGCTTTTCCTCTCTTTCTGCTCCCATTCCCCAGGGCCCTACTGCTGACCCACTATTCACTGACTGTTCTCCCCTCTCCTAAAGCTTCACTCTGGTCTCTCACTTCAGCTCAGACGCCTCCGGAGCTTTGGGCCACCATCTCCCTAAGCTGGCATCCAAGTGTCTCATATCAGCATGCCACAGCCACTTCTACTGCAAAACCGGCAGAGGTTTCCTCACCAGCCTCCCAGCCTGTCCCAGGAGCTGCCTAAACGTCCCATCTGACCCTTCAGGAGCCTTCGGACACCGCCGGCTTGCTTCATGGACACACATGGTCACCACCTTCTGGAACCCGATCATCATTCAACTCCCTAAGTACACCCACTTCCCCCAGCGCAGACAATATGGTGGTGGTGATGGTAGTCATCGTGATCGTGTGCCGTGAAGTCGGTTCCGACTCATAGCGACCCTGCATAGAGTTTCCGAGGCTGTAAATCTTTAAGGGAGCAGAAAGTCTCATCTTTCTCTCGCGGAACCGCTGGTAGTTTCGAACTTCTGACCTTGAGATTAGCAGCCCGACTCGTAACCACTATGCTACCAGACAATACGAAAGCGCATCAAAGAGTTCGTAGGAAAATTCCCTCCTTTTTCAAATTTAGTTTTTCCACAAACTTTCTGGAGCTCTCTCATACTCGCAAGCCCAGTTCAAAGGCTCCAAGGCTCCTTTTGCCTGAACTAACGGGGATTGATACTTCCCTGGCCCGTTCCGCCCCACGACCTTTGGGGTCCCTTTGCCCTGACTTTCCCCGCCCCCTAGCTCCCGGAGTCTTCTCCCCCAGGGTCCGTGGAGCTCAGCACCCGACACCCAAGGGCTGGGGCTGGGTCGGGGTTTGCTGACAGATTCCCCGACCCAGGAAGTGAGCTGTGATTGGATGACACCCACATGGAGGAGCCCCTTCCCTACACCTCTCCTCAAAGCCCTCATCTCCTCACCCCGCGAGATCCCAGCTTGATCCTGGCCTGTCTCATGCCAATCGGGGCCTCAGTTTCCCCCGATGAAGAATGGAGTGTGTGGGCGCAGTCCCAGCCCCAGACCTTACCTGCGGGGGTAGCTGCCAGGGTGGCTCATCACCGCGCTGCTTCTCGCAGATCAGACAGGTCCGGATGCCCTTGCAGCCGCATTCCTGAAGGACCTCTGGTGCCTCTGCCACCGTCGCCGCCGCCATAGCCCTACCCGGGCAACCAGGGCGCAGGCGCTGAGCCGCTGGGAGTTGTAGTCCGCCGCGTCTGCTGGCGTGCTTCCTTCCGGTGCTAGCAGATGACGGATTCGCGGGGCGCCGTGTTCTGAGCTCCGCTGGCGCCAAGCGCCAGTACCAATTCCGCGAACGCTGAGGCTGCCCTGCGGGCTAGTACGGGGCACGCCTTCTCGCCATGAGTTCCCTCACGCCGCGGTTGCTGATGCAGCGGGGTCGGCCCAAGAGCGACCGGCTTGGGAAGATCCGGATCCTGGAGTAAGAGTCGGACCGGGGGCGTGGTTAGCTCCGAGGGGGTCGGGGCTGCCTGGATGCCCGGGCCTGGTTCCCCGACTCCCGACCCATCCCCGTTAGCGTCCCCTCGGTTTTCTGTCTTTCTCCTTGCCACGCGCCTTCCTCTATATGGTGGACTGGACTGTGGTTCCACTGAGTAGCCCCGCTCCAAAGAGAGTCCCGGTTTCTAGGGAGACGGACAAGCATAAAGGAAGTGTTGAGATCATGAGGGAGGCAGGGCATGGGGAGTATCGAGGAGGAGCCCCCAGAGGGTCAGCGAAAGCATCCTGTACAGGGCCATGCTTAGCCAAGCCCTGAAGTATATATAGCAAGGTTAGAAAGTGAGAAAACATGTGTGTGTTAGGAGGGATGGGGGGAGGGGGGTCGTCACAGTGAGGCTGGACCTGCTCCAGAAATGGAGGAGAAAGTCTTCTGAGGCAGGAGGGGGTATCGGGGAGGCCTGCCCACCCTCTCCTTGCCTCCCTGAGCCTTCCGCATCTGTCTCAGCCTGTCGGGGCTGAAGCTGCGCTCCGAGGACTTGGACCCCAGGCTCATGGGCCGGCTAATACATCTGCAAGAGCTGGACCTGTCCAACAACCAACTGGACACGCTTCCCGCCAACCTGGGCCTGCCCCACCTGCGCATCCTCCGCTGTGCCAACAACCAGCTGGGGGATGTTACTTCCTTGAGCCAGTTCCCACAGCTCGAGGAACTCAGCCTGGAGGGTAATCCCTTTCTGACAGTGAGTATCCCCACTGGTCCTGTGCCAACCCTTGAGCCTTAGGCTGAGGTCAGCCTCTGAGCCATGGTTCCCTGATCTTCCAGGTCAGCGACAACCTGAAAGTCTCCTTTCTCCTGCCCAAGCTCCATAAAATCAATGGCAAAAATGCGTCCTTGACCTCCTCTCAGGTGAAGAACCTAAGACTGGAGCTGACCAGCAGGGTAAGTTAGTAAATAGAGGCCTTGAGAAAGGTGTGCAGAAGGGATATTTGGAGGATGCAGGTGGTGCCGTGGGTGAAACGTTGGGATGCTGACTGCAAGGTCGGTGGTACAAACCCACTAGCCATTCCGCAGAAGAAAGATTCGGCTGATTGTTCCTGTAAAGGTTGACGGTCTTGGAAACCGTGTGGGGGTAGTTCTCTGTCTTACAGGATTCCTCTGAGTTGGAATTGATTCCCTGATAATAGAGTGGGGGCACCTAACACGCTGCTCCAAGCCTACCCTGAGAGGGGGGCGCTGCCTCTCTGAAGTCAGGTGTTGGGGTGGTTATCTTTGGAGGCCCCACCCTCAGATTCGCAGGTAGAACTGAGCAAGAGAGGTTGGGCGATGTTCACTGTTTCTTGCTGAGCCGGACTCTGGGCCAGTTTGTACCCTTTGAGCCCGTTTCTGGAAGCAGTGGTGCCTGAGGGGTGGGAAGTGGGGCCAGAGAGCAGCGGTGGGCTGGACCTGAATCTGATCCCTCGTGATCCAGGTCACCGCTTATTGGGAGAAGTTCAAGGCTTCCCTGGGCCCCGAGGAGGAGGCTGAAAAGGCTCGGGTGGACTTCGTGAAGTTGGCCGTCAGGGATGTTCGCTATGGGCCCGAGTCCTTCAGTGACTTTACCCAGTGGCAGGTATGTCCTCACCAAGTGGTTTGGGGCGTTGGTTCTCGAGATTCTTTTGGGGCCTCCTATGAGGGGTAAGGGGTTGTGGGAAGTGCAGGGTCCAGGAAGACCCTTTTCTGACTTCAGAAGCACAAGCTCCCATTGGCCAGGCATCTGGGGGAGGGCTGGGGGCATGCAGGACTGTGCCCAGCTTCCAGATTACCTTGTCCCACCAGGTGCAGATGATCTCTGAGGAGTTGGTGGCCTCTGGTGGGACCCAGGCGCCCAAGACAGACAACCCAGAGAGACCTGTGAATGCCACGACTACCCCCACATCCAGGGTGAGCCTGGCTTCCTGAGGTTCCCCGGAGCTCTGTGCTCCCCTGCCACCTCCCTGCTGGGGAAACCTTGTGTGTGTGTGTGGGGGGAGGGCGAGGTGTCCTGGGAATGAGTCCAAGTGATACAAGGAAGCATCAGGCAGACAGGCGCATCTGAACCCGCTCCACAGACCAGGCTGGTGGCCTTGAAACGGCTGGATGATGATAGCTCACTCAGCCCCTCTCCCAACAAGCGGCTCTGCGCCTCCCCGTCAGCCCTGGTGGAGGGTGACCCCGTATGCTCTGGTAGCAGCCAGGTAGGTGGACGAGACAACAGGGAGCAGGTGGGGGTGAGCTGGGCCTGGGGCGCCCGTAACACCTCTGTCCCCACAGCTGGAACCCTTACACTTCCTGCAAAGCCACAGCAAGAACAACAGCCCGCGGGACCTTGAGACCCAGCTGTGGGCTTGTGCCTTCGAGCCAGCCTGTGAGGATGGTACGGCCTCATCTGTCCTCATCCTTGGTGGGCGGGTCCCAGGCAATAAAGAGCAGACAATCTGGGATGAGGGGCAATTGGTTCTCAAGATTCTTTTGGGGCTCCTGTGGCCTGGGGAGTTGGAAAGTCCAGCTTAGAAAGCATCACCTCAGCTGGCGGGCTGTTGCACACATGTTGCTGTGAGCTGATCCTCTCCAAATGGCACTCAGGGGCCACATCCCAGACCGTGGCCACGTGCGGCGGGGAGGCTGTCTGTGTGATCGACTGTCAGACAGGCATCATACTCAACAAGTACAAGGTGCCCGGCGAGGTGAGTGCCCAGGTCCTGTCAGGACTGGGGGTCCACTGCTGCCCAGCACCCTCGGTGACGGCTTCCCCCACTCTACCTGCTCCAGGAGTTCTTCTCAGTGGCCTGGACGGTGGTGACAGTTGTCACCCAAGCAGGTCACAAGAAGCGCTGGAGCGTGCTGGCAGTGGCGGGCCTGCGGGGCCTGGTGCGGCTGCTGCATGTGCGAGCCGGCTTCTGCTGCGGAAGCATCCGGGCCCACAAGAAGGCCATCGCCACCCTCTGCTTCAGCCCCAATCACGAGACCCACCTCTTCAGTAAGTCTGAGTTTTTCTACATGTGGGCCCTTTGTCGAGGCGTTAACACCTCTGGTCCTCAGTGTGGAGAGCCAGATGCCTGGTGGGCTGGATTAGAGCAAGAAAATGGGGGACTAGAGGCCCTGAGTCTGTTGGTCTGCTAACCATGACCCCTTCTAGCCTGGGACACAGCCTCAGGGCCACCTGTCCCATCCTCTCCTCAGCGGCCTCCTATGACAAGCGCATCATCCTGTGGGATATTGGGATACCCAACGCTGATTACGAGTTTCAGGCCAGGTACTGCTCTGGGGCAGGGCTGGGGAGGGGCCTGCTGCCAGGGTGGAAGGACAGAGGGCTCACAGGTGTCCTGTTCTTCCTCTCATACCTGGCAGCCAGCTGCTCACGCTGGACACCACCTCCATTCCACTATGTGTCTGCCCTGTGGCCTCCTGCCCAGACGCCTACCTGCTGGCTGGTTGCGAGGGTGGCTGCTGCTGCTGGGATATACGGTTGGACCAGCCCCAGAAGAGGAGGTGAGGTGGGCAGGGAGGCCATGGGAGCCAAGCCTCTGAGCTGGGTGCTCTTGGTCAAGATGGACCCAAAACACCCACCCACCTAAACCCAAACCAGACTCACTGCCACTGGGTCACTTCCAACTCATGACCACCCTCAGTAGGGTTTCCAAGGCTGTAAATCTTTACGGGGGCAGACAGCCTCATCATTCTCCTGAGGAGCAACTGGTGGGTTTGAACCACCAACCTCATGGCTAGCAGCCAAGCACCTAACCCACAGTACCATCAGGGCTCCTTCGTCATCCCCACAGGGCTGGCCTATTCCCATCTGGAGGAAAGCAGCTTCCCAGGAGGTTCTGTTGTGGGGCTGGGTTGCGTCAGTCCTCTCTGTGGGTCATGATTCTATCACTCCCCAGCAGTGTGATTGGCTCAGATCCTAGCTGAAACCTCATCATGTGTAATGCGGGGGCTAGGGCAGTGTGATGGGGTTGGGGCTCAGGTGAGGTTCATATTTACCACCTGGGAGGATCGCTGTCTTCAGGGGGAAGGGGTGCACAACCTAACCGGAAGAGAAAACAAAGGCGGCCAGGTGACAAGTGCAATCAATATAAGTGGCAAGAGACAGAGTGGTGCCAGACAGTGATGGGGAGGCCCTGGGGACTCTGTGGGAGGCCAGCAGGTTCCCCATGAGACCCCGGAGTCAGCCAGGCAGAGAAGGGATGTGTGTGTGCTGGGCAGGTGGGCGAGAACTCGGCTGACCTGGGGAGTTTGGCCACAGCTTGGCAAAGCCAGCGGACGTGGCCAAGGTGAGGTGCTGAAGGTACCTGGGCCCTGCTGGCATTTACTGGCCCCAGTCAGAAGCTGAGATTTGAAGGAATTCAGCAGGGGTTATGGGGCAAGTACCTGGGTAAAGGGGTTGTGGAAGGGAGGAGTGGGGGGCTCGGCGGAGCTTGACCTACCTAGGGGTAATGTGGAACAGTCCCATGTCACCCTGGGTGTTGTCCTGGGGTCGCCTCCTCCCTCCCCATGTGTCTCCTGCTCCTCATCCCCGGCCAGTCTCTCCAGTTTGCTCTCTGGGTGACTTTTCCACACGTGGGAGCTACGACACTGCTTTCAGACCTCAAGCAGCCCCTCCCCACTGTTTGCAGGCCCAGAGCAAGTGCCCCCTTTGGGCATTCCAGGTCCACCTCAGCACCCCCAGTGCTTCCTGAGGCCGGGCCTGCCAGTGTGGGGGCTGGTGAGCCCGGCTCTCCAGTCATCCAGGCCCTTGTAGTTTCTGTTGTCTGGCACTGAGGCACACTTGGGGCCGGTACCCCCTCCAGGACCAAGGACTTGGCTTCCTTGTCGCACCTCTGATTTCACATACGGCCCGGCAGACACCTGAATGAACAGAGTTCTGTGTTTGTGTGAGGAGTGGCAGACACCTGAATGAACAGAGTTCTGTGTTTGTGTGAGGAGTGGCTGACCCGTGAATTCTGCTGCCCACAGGGTGTGTGAGGTGGAGTTCACCTTCTATGAGGGCTTGGAGGTGTCGGGACGGAGAGTGGATGGACTGGCCTTCGTGAATGAGGATGTTGTGGGTGAGCAAGCTAGGCTTGGCAACCAGGCCTCCTGAACCACGGTGGGTCCTGGGAGACCCTCCTGGGTCACCTGTCTCTGGGCTGGGATTTAGGTCAAGGGTTGCTGGAGAACCCACCCCGATCCTGTGAACAGGGAAGTGTCCGCCATGGGCCAGCACAGGCAGTTTCTAGGTTTCCCCCACAGCCTCCAAGGGGAGTGGCCAGGGCACCATCTGTCTGTGGAGCTGGAGCCAGACGTGGGCAGGCCGGGGCAGCCAGGCCACCGTGGCTGTGGTGGTTCTGGCTCAGCTGCAGTGGTCATCCACCGAGTTGGCTTATTTCTCGCTCAGCACCTGTCCTGGTAAGCCACCCTGCCCCACCCCAGCCGCCACCTCATTGCACTCTGCCCTAGTCTTGCCCTACCTCACAGCCATCTGTGTTCTGGCAGGTGAGGGGTTAGTGCTCTGTGGGGATGAGGAGGGCAGCGTGTGGATCTACAACGTCCAGCACCTCCTGAAGCAACAGTGCCCACTGCCGGCAGGCCCACAGGCCCCCACGCAGGTACCACACAGCTCACCACCCCCTGCACTGGGGACTAGCGCGGCCACTGGGAAGCCAGGAGCCCAGCCCCTCGCTGCCTCTTCCCACCAGATCCTCAAGTGGCCCCAACCCAGGGCCCTTGGCCAGAAGGTGACCAAGACCATGGTGAACACGGTGGTGGCCAACCCCACCTTTACCTACCTCACCGCTCTGACGGATTCCAACATCGTGGCCATCTGGAGACGGCAGTAGCTGCCAGCAAGACAGGGAGGAGCCTCTTCCGCGGAGCACCAGGGACACAACTTAGTCGGCCTTGGGGCTAATGACAGGCATCTTTTTGGCCATGCGTATTTTTTTATTAAACTACATCTAAGAGAAGCTTGTGAAGCGCTGCTTGCCATTCTTGGGGCCCCACTGTGGGTTCCTGTGGGGGTTGAGATTCGAGAGCAGAGGCTTGGGAAGACAATGTCCACAGTCCCCTTCACAGCCCTCCAGTCACCCAGCTTTGGGTCCAGGATGAGTTTGTCCTTGCCAACCTCTCAGGCAAAGCCCGGGTCTGCCTCCCAGGTCTCTGGTTCCCCCCCCACACACCAAGTGGCTTGACTGAGCCTGAGCCCGAGCCCATCTACTTGTAAAGTCTCCTTCAGAGAGTGAGGCCAGCCACTGTCAGCCCACAGCCAGGTCTCTGTAGCACGCTTTTATTAGGAACAGAGGGAACCTGAGTCCCAGAGACAACAGGTGCCGGGCTGAGAGGCTCATGGACTGTCGTTAACAAGGACAGTGCCTGGTGCCCCCAGAGAAGTACCCAGAGTGGGCAGGAGCTGGGCTTCCGGGCTGGGCAAGGCTCCTTCCAGTTCACTATTCAATTCCTTCTTGCTTGTCTTTGATGGCCACCTGGGGAAAAGGAAGGAGACAACCCACTCAGCTAGAGCAGCTGGGGATGAGGACCTTGGAAATGAAACCCCAGCACCCCCTGAGCACAGTCTATCAGGAACCTGCTTCTTCCACAAAGCCACCATGCACAGCGGAAAGCATCAGCTCAGAAAGCCAGGGGCCTGCACTCTCTGCCCAAGGACAACGTCCAAAAGGTCTAGGAACGCAAGAGGAATGGAAGCAGGAAATGGGAGTGGGGAATGAGGGATGCTTCACTGTGGGGCTTGCAATCAGAAACAATGTGCATGAATTGTTGAGTGAAAAACTGATCTGCTATGTAAACCTTCACTCAATTCACGTAAAAAGTTAAACAGAGCCCCAAACAGTACCAGGGGGCAGGGCAGTTAAGAATCAAAGGTACCCTTGGAGCTGGCCTCACTCATCCATGTCTAGCTGCCTGGGGTGGGAATCAGGTGGAACGGGTGTGCCCCAAACGAACTTTCGATGTAGACTTTAAAAATCTGACTAGCTCTGACCCTTCCCCCTCAGACTACCTAGCCCGAGGCCCCTCCTACTTGGTGTCCTGAACCTTGGAAGCCACCCAAAGATGAGCTACCACCACCCAGACAGACAGCGGGCCTTCTACCCCACAGACAGATGTGGAAAGATGGCTCCAGAGGCCAGGTGGGGGCCCTGCTTGGGGTGATCCATAACCCTCAGCCGAAGCTTTCAGGGGGCTGGGCATGCCAGCTGTCACCCTGCTTCTAGTCCCACCCAGCGGCCCCAGGGAGCTCACCCGGAAGCGCTCCTCCAACAGGGAGAGCTCGCTGATGAGGTCCGTGATGGCGTTGGTGAAGGCCTCCTGCGGGCTGTAGTCGGGGGTGGTCTGCACTCGGATGATGATCTTGTGCTCCAAGGGGTGGGGGACTTTGTAGCCGGCAAACAGTACCTGTGGGTCTTTCAACAGCTGTCTGGAACACAGGAATGGAGGGTTTGAGGGAGGCTGCCTCCAACAAGAAGCCCACCTGTCAGGTGAGGCTGCCAAGTACAGGCCCCAGGGGCACCTGCTCGTCTGTGCTTTCCTTTTCTCCACAAATTTCAAGTAAAACAGATGCTTTGAAAAACACTGACCATGTGAGGACCCTTCTCCCCAAAGGAACTCTAGCTGAGACTCTGGCTTCTAGCAACTTCTTCCCTTAGGGGAAGTCAGGCACCCGTTAGACCAGTGAGTCCACAGAGGAACGAGGCTTGTGAACACAGGTCAGCGTCATTCAGAAAAAAGATGCCGGGCATTGATACGCCATGGACAAGCCCCAGGAAGGACTCTCAGCCATAGAATGTCTTACGGAACTTGTACTTTCCCCTAAAGCCCAAACCAAACTCACTACCCCTAAGTTGGTTCCGACTCCTAGCAACCCAACAACTGGACTAGAACTGCCACATATAGGGTTTCCAATGCTGTCACGCTTACGGGAGCAGACAGCTCAGCTTTCTCCTGTAGAGCAGCTGTAGGGGTCAGACCACCGACCTTTCCGTTTGCAGCCCAACACTGTGCAACCGGGGTTCCCACTTTGCCCCAAAGAGTCCCCTTAAACACAGCTCTTGAGAATCTTGGCCCTGGAACTTACGATTTGATGATGTTTCCGAGGGTGTGGTCTTCTTTGTTGATGGTGAACAAGCAGGCATTGGGCACCTTGGTGTCCTTGTTGATGGTGATCCTAGGAGGCCGGAGACAGCATCTAAGGGCAGGGCCTCTCCCTCCCACCCCCAAGTTACACCCGCCCTTCAAGGCAGACTCAAGTCCCACCTCCTGGAAGCCTTCCTGATCTCCCCATCCCATAAAGCAGCCCTGTGTCCCCCACACTGACCCCAGCTCTTGGGACCCTTACCTCCCTGGCTTGTTTCTTTTTACCAAAGACAGGTTTCTCACCTTTGGCAGCCCTAGCATTTGGGGCTGGATCCATCTTTGTCCTAGAGAACATTAGCACATCCCTGGCCTGTATGCATTTCTTGTTAGTTAGGTGCCATTGATTTGGTACCGACTCATAGCGGCCCTATGTACAACAGAAGGAAACACTGCCCGGTCCTGGGCCAACCTCACAATTTTGCTACACCTGAGCCCATCGCTTCCACCCACTGTGCCAATCCATCTCGTTGGGGGTTCTTCTCTTTTTCTCCGGCCCTCCGCTTTACCCAACATGTTGTCCTCCAATGACTGGTCCCTCCTGACAACATGTCCGAAGTATTAGAGAAAGTTTGGCCATCCTGGCTTCCAAGGAGCACTCTGGCTGTACGTCTTCCAACACAGATCTGTTTGTTCTTTTGGCAGTCCATGACACTTTCAATATTCTCCAACACCATAACTCCAATGCCTCAATTCTTCTACGGTCTTCCTTGTTGTTTTTAGGTGCCATTGAGTCATTTCTGACTCATAGTGACCCTGTGCACAACAGAACGAAGCACTGCCCGCTGTGGGCCAACCTCACAATCATTACTAGGCCTGAGCCCATTGTTCCTGCCACTGTGTCAATCCATCTTATCGGGGGTCTTCCTTTTCACTGACCCTCCACTTTACCAAGCATGGTGTTCTTCTCCAGAAAGTGGTCCCTCTTGATAACATGCCTGAAGTATGAGTGATGAAATCTGACCATCCTGGCTTCTATGGAGCACTCTGACTGTACTTCTTCCAACACAGACCTGTTTGTTCTTCTGGGCGTCCATGGTACTTTCAATATTCTTCTCCAACACCAGAACTCCAATGCATCAATTCTGCTACCATTTTCCTTGTTCACTGTGCAACTTTTACAAGCATATGAGGCTACTGAAAATACCAAGGCCTAGGTCAGGTGCACCTTGTGCAGTAGATTTGTCTAGTGCAATACATCATTTGATTCTTGACTGCTACTTCCATGAGTGTTGATTGTGGATCGTAGCACAATGCGGTCTTTGACAACTTCAATCTATTCTCCATTTATCATGATGTTACTAGAGACCAGTAAGGAACCTCCTGTGGGATAACAAAAAATGTTTCTCAAACCTACTACCATCGAGTTAATTCCTACTCATGGAGAGCCTACATAGGGTTTCTGAGACTAAATCTTTATCCAAGCAGACAGCCTTATTATCTTGACGTGTAGCTAGTAGGTTTAAACTGCCAATCTTGAGGTTAGGAGCCTAGCACCGAACCCACAGCGCAGCACCAGGGTTCCTTAAATGTTCTTGTTGATCCTGGTCAGGGTTTCTGAGGAGCGGCTGGTAAGCCTGCGCTGTCGACCTTGCGGTTCAAAGCAACTTTACAGTCTAGATTTAACAGGAGGGTGGCAAGGGCCAGACCAGGTTTAGCACACCAGATTTGAAAGGGTGAACGGTGTCACCCCAAAATATGTGTCACTTGGCTGGGCCATGACTCTGCGGGGTTTGGCAGTGATCGGATGTGATCAGCCAGTCAGTTACTAAATTCACAGTCCTGATCCATCCAAGGCGAGGGGAATTTCCCTAGGGCGTGGCTTGCAATCCCCTCGGATCTTAAATCCTGCTAACAATCACCACTCCTCAGGCTCTGCAGTGAGCTGCAGCCTCTTACATAACTCACAACTCTCATGCAATCTGGGAGGCTGACAAGTCCCAAATCTGTAGTTCAGAGGTCAGACTGGAGGATTCTCCTCATCCACCTAATCTCAGGAGATGAGGAACCCACACTGGCGGGTCAGATGACAGAGTGTTAAGGCATAAAATTGCGGGAGCCGTTGAATCCGGTCAGGGGATATAGGTCACAAGTCCCAGGAACTGGAGGTCAGATGGAGCTGAGTCAGATGGAGGGTCTCCAGCACCACAGCAATCCTATGTAGTGGACTCAGACCATGCCCCCAAGGTCAACTAGGGCTGGTGACCTGAGTCACACCCTTTAGCAAGGTGGGTGTTTCCTTAATCCTTAGCTCCACCTTAATCATTACTCATTGTTGTTGTCCTTAAATGTCTGCCAGTAGGTTCCTACTCACAGTGACCTTGTATAGGGTTTCCAAGGAGCAGCTAGTGGGTTTGAACTTATTCCTGTTAGGTTCCATGCAGTCGGTTCTGACTCATAGCCATCCGATGCACAGTAGAAGGAAACAGTGCCCGCCTGACCCTGCTTCACCCTCACAATTGTTATTATGTTTGCGGCTGTTACTGCTGCCACTGTGCCCATCCATCCTGTAGGGGAGCTTCCTCTTTTTTTGCTACACTTTACCAAGCATGATGTCCTTTCCAGGGACTGGTCCCTCCTGACATGTCCAAAGTAGAAGAGACAAAGTCTCACCATCCTTGCTTTTAAGGAACATTTCGTTGTACTTCTTCCAAGACATCAGCTTTTAATTTTATAAGATATAAAAGGAGAGGGAGCAAACAGAAACAGGGGGGAAAGACAGGGAACGTACTACCACCATGAAAGAAAAGCTGAGTGCAGAGGGGGTCCTTTGGACCTAGGGTCCCTGCTCAGGAGGGGAGATTGATGCCAAGACACAAAGAGATCTCCAAGGAAAACAGATGCTGAAAGAGATAAGGTCTTTTCTCCTAAACTGGGAGCCAGCAGAGAGAGAAAGCCTTTGCCTAGATCCAGGGCTGCGAATTTGGACATCTAGCCACCTAGACCTAGAACAAAACACTGCCCATTCCTGTGCTACAATCATTGGTACACTTGAGCCCACTGCTGCTGGGTCAATCCATCTCATTGGGGGTCTTCCTCTTTTTTGCTTACCCCCCACTTTACCAAGGATGCTGTCCTTCTCCAGTTTCTGCTATAGTCACACCAGACAACTAAGAAAACGAGTAAGAGTCAATGGTTAATGACTGTCTTCTATGTTCTGAGCTCTGGGCTAGGCACTTGATACACTTTAAATGACTTCATTCTATTTTTCCTAGGAGAAAATCCTGGGGACACAGAGGCTCTGTAGGATCAGCACTGGACTGTGAACCAAAAGGTCAGTGGTTCAAGCCCACCAGCCAGTCCGTGGGAGAAAGATGAAGCTTTCTGCTCCCGTGACGATTTCAAGCCTGGGTAACCCTATACAGGGTTGCTATGAGTCGGACCCAACAACAAGACAAAATCCAATGATTAAATAAAGCAATTGCTGTTTTTCAGAGGAGTTAACTAGGACTGATACAGATTAAGTCTCTTGTCCAAAGACACAGAGTTGGTAATTGGTGGGAATCTAGGAGTTCTGGTATGGCGTTGTGGGCTAACGCGCTGGATTGCAAGGTCGGTGGTTCGAGCTCACCAGCCGCTCCTGGGAAACCCTAAACAGGGTCACTATGATTCAGAACCGATTCGATGGCACCGAACAACAACGGTAACAACAGGAGTCCTGGTGTGGCAGTGTAGGATAAGCACTGGACGGCTAACCGCAACGTCAGCTGTTCAAAACCACCAGTCACTGCTCGAAGCCACTCCAAGGTTGCTAAATTGGAACCAACAACAGTAACAAGAAGGAACCAAGGCAGGGCTGTCTGACCATTAGCCCACATGTTCCCCATCTGCAAGCTACAAGGAGTCGCTGAAGGCTTTACACCGGCAAGTGAAGGCTGGGCCTGAACTTGCGGAGCCATCACTCTAGCGGTAGCAAGAAGGATGAAGGTGACAGGAGGGGGCTGTCAAATCGATCACAGAAAAACAAGGCTTTAGGGCCAGACATTCTGGGTTCGACCTCACTGACAGCCTCAGGCTCCTCATCTGCAAAATGGAGCTTCACCACGGCTGCAAGTTTGGAAGACAGGGGCGCAAAGTCCCCACAAAGGCCAGGCAGGAGACACCCCAGTATCTGCGAACCTCGGCCCGACCCGGCCCCGAACCCCGCCTGCACTCACTTCTTCTCGCCTTCGAAGAGCAGGAACGACTCGAAAGCGGGAGGAGCATTCATCTTGAAAACACGGCCGCCGCCACCTCTTAAGTCCTACAAAGCACCGCCTTCCAAGTCAGTTTCTGCTTCCAGGTTAGGTCGGCGGCGCCAGACCTGCTCCAGGAGCCATACTCATGCAGTGCCTCCTAGCGGACCGGAGGCTCAGGCGCCGATGCGCGGGTTGTGGACGGGGGGTCGGAGGTTCTGCGCTTGCGTCAGTGTGGCCGCTCTAAGGTTTGGTCCTAGGTGGGCGCTGCGGCGCATGCTCAGATCGCTGGGTGCCGCTCCTACCAAAACGGCTTTATCCGGGATAAACTGGAACCTCTGAGCTGTGCCCCTTCTTTCTTGCTTCCTAGATGGAATCAGGAAGCGTCTGCTTGAAAAAATGGGGCGATGGAGTAGTGGGCATACGTGGCCCGCAGCAAGTAGGGGAGACTCTGAAAGAACCCCACGAGCTACCCCGTTGGGTATGCCAAAACTACCTGGGCAGAACGGTTACCAGACTCATGGCTAGGTTGTCGCTGGCTTGCAAAGTTTGGGTTTAGTGAGGCTCCTGTTAGCAAGATACGTGGGTGGGGACTGGGAGTTGGGGAGAGGGTCCTGAGATGAGAGCTCGGTGGGATACGTGCATCATACCCGGTTCTGATTGCATGATCCTGAGCAGAGGGTGGAAAAGTAGGTGTTGGAGATGGTGGGAACAGATAGCAGGCTCACCCTCAGAGGAAGGGGAGGGAAGAAGTCCTATCTTGCAAAAACGGCTGGAGAGGTCTATAGGAGTTCTGGTGTGGAGCTGCAGATTCATGCGCTGGGCTGCAACATCGGCGGTTCAAGCTCACCAGCCGCTCCTAGGAAACCCTATGTAGGGTCTTTGTGAGTCAGGATCGACTCGACAGTATTTTAACACTGAGGATCGGCTCTTAGTGGGTTGTTGGGAGGAGGCGGGTCTTGTGGCCCCAAAGTCAAGGGGTAGAGGGAAGGGGCCGCTCCGTGGGCTTGCATTTCCTTTGTCTTTTTTTTTTTTTTTTTTACATTTTTGATTTGGGTGGAAGTTTACGACCAAATTGGTTTTCCATTCAACAATTCACACACATTTAGTGTCATTGATTGTAATCCCCACAATATAAGCTCACATATCCCATTTCCTCCTGTGTTTACCATTTCCCTGTCCCTTCCTGTATTCTGAGCTTTAACCCTGAGCAAAGGCGGGTTTTTTTTTTTTTATCTCAAGTGGTTGACAGTTCTAAGAAGTGTGAACTTCCCTGGTGTTTTGTTCACTTTCTCTCTCACTGCCAGGGAGTCAATTCCAACTTTTATAAACCATGGAAGGGTTTCAGAGGCTGTACATCTTTACAGGAGCAGAAAGCCTCAACTGTTTTCTGGGCAGCCACTGTGGGGTTTTGTGAGAAGTAACTCTTGGTGGTGTGGCCCATCTTCAGGGCTAAGGATAATTTTGTGAGTAGCAGGCTAGCATAACAAAAGGAGCTCACTGAAGGGGAAGAACTAGTTTTAAAGGCTAGGAACTTTAAAATAAGAATACACCCATCAAGGAAATAGGGAAAGTTCTTGGGGAAAAGGGGAAACTAACTTTAAATGAGAATGCTCCCAGTAAGAACAAGTAGGTATGTTCTGGAGGAGATTGTAAACTGCATGATGTTGTTATTAAGTGCCTTCTAGTTGGTTCTGACCCATAGCGAGCCTGTATAGGGTTTCCTGGGAGCAGGCTGGTTAAGCTTGAACTGCCAACCTTGCAGTTCAAATGCCTTTGCAGTCTAGTACATTAACCCACAGTGCCACCACACCAGGACTCCAGTAAACTCCATGGTGGTGGTGGTGTGCCATGGAGTCGGTTCTGACTCATAGCGACCCTGTATAGGGTTTCCAAGGCTGTAAATCTTTATGGGAGCAGATAGCCTCCTCTTTCTCCTGCGGAGCAGCTGATCGTTTCGAACTGCTGACCTTGAGGTTAGCAGCCCAATTCATAACCACTAAACTACCAGAGCTCCTTAGTAAACTACACGTTGTTGTTGTTCTTATGTGCCATCGAGTCGGTTCGGACCCATAGCGACCCTGAACAGGGTTTCCAAGGCTGTAAATCTTTACGGGAGCAGAAAGCCTCATCTTTCTCCCGTGGAGCAGCTGGTAGTTTCGAACTGCTGACCTCGCGGTTCACAGCCACTACACTACCAGAGCTCCATAATACCCAGTTAGCAGTCCAGGGCTGATTCTTCAGCGCCACACCAAGACTCACATTAGACCAGTAAGCCTGGTCTTTTTGAAGATTTTGAGTTTTGTTCCATATTTTTCCTCTACTCTATCCAGGACCTTCTATTGTGAATCCTTTCAGAGCAGTCAGCTGTGGTAATCACACCTAGCTCTGCTCTGGTTAAGCCTTTAGACAAATTGTTTGTGTCTCTTGATTTTCCCTCTTTGCCATTCCCAGAACCACCCAGAATGGACCCTGCTCTACTGATCCTGGTCAACCAATTTAGTAGCGTAGTGGTTATGAGTTGGGCTGCTAACTACCAGGTCAGCAGTTCGAAACTACCAGCGGTTCCACAGGAGAAAGATGAAGCGTTCTGCTCCCGTAAAGAATTACAGCCTCAGAAACCCTGTGCAGGGTCACTATGAGTCGGAACCGACTCCATGGTATTTAACAACAACTGGGGATTCCTTGGTGTGGCACTGTGGGTTAATGAACCAGACTACAAAACTGTTTGAACTGCAAGGGCAGCGGTTCAAGCTCACCAGCGGCTCCTTGGAAACCTATACAGGGTCGTTATGGGTCGGAACCGACCCAACAGCATTTAACAACTGGGGACTGTAATAGGCCTAGGGTTCATGAGCCAGGCTCTGAGATTGACTGGATGAGTTTTGAATACATGCTGTTTTATTAATTCTGTTGCAATTGACTGTGTACCTAGAGATGGGGATGAAGGAGCCCTGATAGCACAGTGGATTAAGTGTTGGTCTTCTAAGCACAAGGTCAGCAGTTCAAATCCACTCTGAGTGACTTAGTTCTCCAATGCTGCTATAATGGAGTACCACAAGTGGATGTCTTAACAAGCAGCAGCTGATTGTCTCAGAGCTGAGGAGGCTCGTAGGAGTCCCAATTTGGGATGGCAGCTCTAGAGAAGGTTTTCTCTGTCAGGTGTGGAGGGAGGTATTTGTCTCTTCAACTTCTGCTTCCTGGTCCCTTGGGGATCTGTATGTATTTGTGCATCTATCTTACTCCAGGGTCTAGAAAGTGGCTCAGCCCAGAGACCCCAGGTCCAAAGGGCACATTCCCCTCTCAACTCTTTTTCTTGGTGGTAGAAGGTTAGGATCAGCATAGCACTGTAGGATACACATTCGTCTGCTAATCACAAGGCTGGTGGTTCAAACCCACCAGGTGCTCCTTGGAGACCCTATACAGGATCATTATGAGTCAGAACCAACTCCATGGCACTTCACAACATCAGAAAAAGTATAACCACACAGTACTAGGAATCATAAGGGGTTCTGGTAACGTAGTGGTTACGAAACGGGCTGCTAACCTCAAGGTCGGCAGTTCAAAACTACCAGCTGTTCCGGGGGAGAAAGATGAGTCTTTCTGCTTCTGTAAAGATTTACAGCCTCGGAAACCCTGTGCAGGGTCACTATGAGTCGGAACCGACTCCCTGGCACTTAACAACAACAACAGTACTGGGACTCACGGTCTTGCCAAATCGGCACAGTATCTCTGAGGATCACAGTTCAATCTGAGCCATTTCACCATTAGAGGCTTGCCACATGTAAAAACCATCCAGCGCGTCAGTGCCCTGCTGGGATTTGAAATACTAGTGGCCCGTATTCCAACATCATAACAACAGAGAAGCCATCATTATGACAAATTGACAGAAATGGAGGTTCTAAAGATACGGGCTCTTTAAACATACGCATAACCACGATATTGTACCAGACCATAAAAACAATCGTCACGTAGTCAGCTAGTGTCCACATTTATAATTATCTCAGTAAAATACCATTTCTCAACCTTTTTATTGCATTTGGTTGTTCTATTTCTTTAATCGAAGGTACCCCTTTCTCCTCACAACTGAATAAACAACTAATCCTGAGTTGGATGTCTGCTCCCAAACCCAACTCCTCCATATGTTCCAGCTGTGGGACCCTCAGCAAATTACCACCTTGCCTTGGATTCCTGGGTGCTGATGCTAGGCTTGTGGGGAGGAAAAAATGAGTGGATGCAACCGGAGGGGTGTGCTCTGTGTGCGAAGACTATTACTGCTGAATGTGTCTGAGCCCCTGTGGGTCTCCCTGCATTGGTCTACCCTTGTGGCCGCTGAGCACTGGGTGAGGGCAGGCAGAGGTCCATAGAACCCTGTCTGGAGATCTTTGGGCCTACAGGACCCAGGCTGCCCACAGCAGGTCAGTCACAGGGATTGTTACCATCCACATCCTGCCTGGGCATGTCAGCCACCTTCAGCTGTGCAATCCAGTGGCCATCATCACAGTTCCAGAGAGGTTGGGTCCCCTCCTGGTCAACGTGCAGGGGTTGCCAGGAGGTCTCGTGAGAGAGGATGGAGTTGTGAGGCCTCTGAGGAGACCAAGGAAAGGTTGGTTCCTGGGAAACTGGGACTCCACCCTCAGTGCCACGGTTTCATTCTCGCTCAACAGAACCAGCCTAGGGTCTCTGATGTAGAGGCTTCACACAAACATCAGGCCAGAGTGGACCCTTAGGGTCTGGGGTTAGACAGTGAAGGAGGCAACTCTGCCGCCAAGGCCTGGCTGGAGGCCTTGTGGGGGAGGGGAGCTGGAGGTCACTCTCTATCCTGTTACTGTGGCCACAATGGGAGCTTGGCCTGGTGCCCACTCCATGCCCAGTGGGCAGACTCATGTGCTGCCAGGGGCCAGGTCATGGCTCTGAGTTTGAGTTCTAAGCCCAACTCTGCCAAACAGTCCTCAGAGGAGTCCTGCGCAAAGGACCATGGGCTTGCTTGGGGCTCTGAGTACGAGGAGAGACTTGTCCAGCTCAGGTGGGGGTGGAGGGGTGGGGGGAGGGTGTTGCTTTGGGGAATGGCTGGGGTGGGGGGAGTAGGGTTGTGGTGGAAAACCATTTCTGGGGGAGAGGAAGGGAGCTGCACAAAGACTATGATGGTAGCCCCAGTCCTTGGTTACCCCACCCACAGTTACTGGGGTCCCCCTGGGCCCACTCTTTCCCAACCCCATCATGAGATTCCCAGCGCCAAGGCAATTAAAACAGGTTTATTGTGGCCCTAGAGCACCATGGGCCTCCCTCCCCCCGCCCCGGAGCACAGGTAGTGGCCATGAGGAGAGTGTGTCCCCTCCCCACCTAGCCCCCAGAGCCTCTGCCTGGACTTTTTTTTTTGGTGGGGGGGGTGTTTCTGCAGGGTCTGTCTGAGGCAGGAAAGGAGGCTCCAATGGCAAGATTCAAGGGCCACAGGGAGCAGCCAGCCAAGAGAGAGTGGTCGGTGATAGTGGGCCAGGGCCTAGCCTGGTCTGGACTTCTGGACCTCCTCACCTCCTCCACCTAGGAGACTCCCCAGGGCTCGGTACCCCACCAAGGGGACTGGGGTCTCCTGACACCTGGCAGGGGCTTGGCAAGGGTGTGCTGAGCTCACGTCTGCAACTCCGGGAGGCTCCTGTGCTCCGAGGATGGGATGGCCGTGGGGCTGGCGCTGTGGGCCTTCCTGAGGTCCTGCAATACCTGGAACAGCTGGATGAGTCCGTCCTTGGGGGCTGGGGTGCAGAGGGCTGTGAGGACAGGGTCCCTCACCTGCCCATGCCTGGTGCGTCCAGGTGCAGGCCAGAAGAGACCCTTTAACTCAGGTCCTGCCCTCTGCTCTCCACAGAACTCCCAGACAGGAGAGACCTACCTGGGTCAGGGCCTGCGGGCACACTGTCTGCCTCTGGGGGCCCCCTCAGTTCCAGGTGCTTCTCCCTGTGGGTGAGGACAAAGGGAGGGGCAGCTGGTGACCTGTGTCTGCCAGAGCTGTGGACCGGTGTGCGTACCATTCTCTCTCTCCCTCCACTCATTGCCTTGGTGGGTATTTTCTGAGCTGAGCCAGGCACCATTCCCTGTCCTGGGGTCAGAGCCGTGACTGGGAGTCCTACCCTCCTAGAGCTCACTGTATAGTTGGGGGACAGCCAACAGATGAGAAAACAGCATGTGCGGATGCTTCGCCACGTGACACAACTTCAGAGAGTGGTCCCTCAGAGAAGGGGTGTGTGTTTGTGTAAGATGTTCCCAGGGTGCTCAGGGAAGGCCTTTTGGACATTTAAGTAGAGAGCTGAATTAGGGAGGGCATGAGCCCTGGGAACACTTGGGGGAAGAGCTTTCAGACAAAGGCCACAGCACATGCAAAGGCCCTGGGGTGGGAAGAAGCATGATGATGCCCAGAAACAGCACAGAGACAAGGGCAGCTACAGCAAACCCAGCAAAGAAAAGGGATGGAGCTGGAAGAGAAACAAGGGAACAGGGCACGTCAGGCCTTGTAGCCATAGTGGAAAACCATTCGAGGTTTTAAGCTGGGGTGTAGGGCGTTGTGGAGGGGAGATGGCATCTGCTTCATGTTTGAGATCACTCTAGGGACTCTTCCAGGAAGGCTGGCGTGCAGGCAGGGGGGCCTGTTAGGAGGCTACCGCACAGTCCCAGCCATAAATGGGAGAGCGTGCACTGGTGGGGTAGTCATGGGAGGAGGGGGTTAGATCTAGATTTATTCTGAATGTGAAGCCAAGGGGGCTTGTTGAGCAGTTGGATGTGGGGGCTGGGGAAGGTGAGGGAAAGAGAGAAACCAAGGATGAGTCTAAATTTGCAACCTAAGCACCTAGGTGGGCAGTGGAATTGTTTACAGAGAGGAGACCACAGGGAGGAAGAGGCCCGGGGATGGGGGAAACAGAGACTCCCACCGTCTCTAGTCTAAGACCTAGTGCAGAAGATGAAAACCTGCGGGAGGGTGAGGACAGCCTCTGCTCGGCCATCACTGGGCCACCGTTGGAGAAGACAGACTCTTGAGTCCCAGACAGAGAGGCTACGATGCTGGGTGACACCGTCCAACTGGAAGGACAACTACACATGGTCCATGTCTGTGATGGTGGCTGGTGGTTGTGTGACATAGTTGGATAAGCACTGGACTGCTAACTGCAAGGTCTTGGTTGAAGCCCACCAGCTGCTCCTCAGAAACCCTATCCAGCGTATGATGAGTCAGAACCAACTTGACGGCACTTAAGAAAAATAGTCTCTAGTTCGGTTTGAGGTCATGAATGGACATTCAAGTGGAGCAGCCAGATAGGTAGTCAGATGAATATGGAGCTCAGGGAGGAAAGAAGTGGGGGTCCTCAGGGCATAGGTGGGATTTAAAGACACAGGGCAGACTGAGGAAGAGGAGGAGCCACAGCTGCTGAGAGAGGGAGAAAATTAGAAGAGTATGGTAGGTCCTGGAAGCCAACAAGATGTGTCTAGAGAAGGAGCGGTCAACTGATGGGCCAAGAACAAGGAGCACTGAGGAGACCGTCCAGATAGAGAGTCACAATAACTCTCCCCAAAGTCCCAGATGAGGACCCCTGGCAGCATTGCTCGAGGTCCAGGGCCGGGGAAGAAGTGGAAGCCGGGCCAGCTGGCACAGTGTTTTTCTCCAGACTGGGTGAGCTGCTCAGTTTACAGTTAGGTTACCCAGCTGAGAGGCTCACAACAGCAGAGGTAGCAGGGGGTAAGGGTGTGTGCAACAGAGGCCTTACAGAGGTGGGTCCTGGGATCTGCACTGCAAACGTGGGGCAGAGGAGGAGCAGGTGTAGTTGACTGAATAGTGCTCACCCCTCCAGATATCCATGTCCTAACCCCCAGCATCTGTGAACGTTACCTTCTAGTGCAAAAGGGACGTTGTAGATGTGACTGAGTTAAGGATCTTGTGTTGGGAAAAGGATGCTGGATCACCTAGGTGGGCCCCAAATGCACTCACACAAGAGTTTGTGTAATAAGATAGAGGCAAGAAAGTCACAGGAAGCAGGAAGCCATGGGAGAACAGAACCAGAGATCAAATCCACTTTGTAGATGGAGGAAGGGGCCACAAGCCCAGGAATGAAGGTAGCGTCTAGAAGCTGAAAAAGGAAGAGAGTGGATTCTTCCCTAGAGCTTTCAGAAGGCACCAGCCCTGCCTTCTGGGAGGAGTGATATTGCATTGTGGGGCCTGCAGTCAACGACATGAAACCCATGTGTATGATCGGGGAACGATCTGCTCCACAGCTTCATCTGATCCATAACAGAAATAAAATGAAGCTTATAAGTGCCTGGGTGTAGCCAGGGGAGCTAGGGTCCAGGGGGACAGGTCAGCACGTCTCGGGAAGAGGTCTGAGTAGACAGGGAGGGACTGAGGTCACTGGGAAAGAAGGAGCCGAGAGGAGAAGGCTGAGTGACCAGGGGGTACTTGATTGTCAGCAGAGGGAGGAGATCAATCCCGGAAGTGTCAATGGGGAATAGGTCATGTGCTCTGCGCCACCATGGAAAGTTGATATTGGGAGGCTGGGAGCAGCTTGACGCTGGGATCCCAGTCCTGGGGCCTCCATCTGATCTGCAGAGAGCTGGGTGCCCCTCTCCCAGTGTGGCTACAAGGCTGGGCAAGGTGCTGTGCCTGATTAGGAGACCACCGTGCCCAGCCAGCTCTAGCCCAGCCAAGAAGAGCCCCCTCCTCACCGCAGAGTGGTCTCCACACACAGCAGGTGCTGGTAGATGAGTTGGGCCTCCAGGTCGTGGTCCAGAGGGTCATTCCATTCCTGAAGAGTCACCCGTGACCTGGTCTTATCACAACCCAGATCTGGGGGCAGAGAGACGGGGTTACAGGCAGGCCCCATGCCTGCAAGCAGGCATTCTGAGCTCGAGTCCCACTTCCTGGTTGTAGAGGCGGGTAAACTGAGGCCTAGTGGATGAGAGGAATGGACTCAGGGCCCCCATTCTGGGCTGGGCTGGGGGCAGAGCAAGCTAGGGAGTTCTGGTCCAAGCCATGTCTGTAGCCACCTTCCCAGGGCATCTGGGATATGTGATTGTTGAGTGTTGGGGTTGTGTAAGACACTCCTTGGAGGATCTGGGTAACTTCTGGAAGGCTATCTTCCTCGAATACCACTGGCAGGTAGACCAGAATGAGGTCTGCAACTGGCAATGAGCTGGCCAAGTCAGTTAGCCTCTCAGAACTTGGTTCCCTCCACTTGACAGGCGCTGCCCACAATGCTGTCCCCATGGCAAGACAGCCACAGGCTGAAGGACAGGTCAGCCAGCCTTACTGTCACTGGCAAGGATCCCCTTTACAGGGGGTGGTGGGGTCTGTCTATGGGACCCCAATCCCCACCTCAAATCTAGGGCTGGGCTAGAGTTGGAGGGGTCGGGGACTTGGGGGCGCTGAGGCCTGGCTTAGCCTGGGGAACAGGTATTTTAAGCATGGAGTCTAATTTGGGACTGGAAGGTTAGTCTTTGGTAAAGCGGGTAGAATGAGGGGAACACATCTTGAAGGTTCTAGAACTGTGCTGCCCAATAGGGTAGCCACTCACTCTGTGAGGCGACTTGAACGAAAGTGAACTAACATGCTAAAGAGCTAAAACTCCATTTCTAGTTCCTCAGCGGCACTACCCACAATTCCCGAGCTCCGTCGCCACATGTGGCTCCTGACCGGTGTCCTGAACGGCACACACGGAACCTTTTTCTGTAAGCACAGAAAGCCTGAGCAAAAAGCTCCTTCCTGCCACCCCTCTAGTGCCCAAAGTTCTGAAGCCTCTCTCCATTCCAGCTTAGCTCTGGTACCAGGTTGCTAGGGTAGAGGTGTGCAAACTCAGGGCTCTCTCAAATCCTCAAGAGTGGGCACCCCAAAAGTATGCTCCCTGAAGCACCCTTCTGCAAGAAGCTCATTGGACAAGAAAAGTTCCTGTCAAATGCGTTAGGGAAGTGTGGGTTTAAACAGAACTAGAAGCAGGGTCCCAGGCATCTGCAGGCCTCCTCAGAGCCTTCAACATGCTGGTGGTGTCTGTGCCATTTCCCAAACCATCTAGTCAAGGAACCCTGTTCTTCCCAACATCTGGAGGGACTGGTTTTCTGCAGGGAGCTCCCAGCTAGACCAGCTCTCCCCATCGAGAGCCTGAGGCCTGCTGTGGCCAGGTGCCCCCCCCCCCACCTGTCTTATCCTTCTGGTGACAGCAGCTCCACCTCTCCCCACGGAAGATGCCAGGGTGGTAGGAGCCCAGTAGACCAACGTTGTTTATGCTCACTTTCCTCAGCGCAGACAGCCACTGGTTCAGCTCGTTCACACACTACAAGGGATGACTAATCAGACACAGGCCACGGCCCACTAGGTTCCCAGACACAGATGGATAGACACGGACAGACAGACACAGACACACAAACAGACACAGACAGACCCACAGACAAACAGACACACACAGAGACACAAACGGGAAGATACAGACAGGCAAATAGAGAGACAGACAGAAATACACAGGAAGACACACATACAGACACATATATACATACATACATAATACAAACATCAGAAAGAGACATAGACAGACACACAGGCATGCACATACACAGACAGACACAGACACACAGGCAGACAGACACAGACACACAGGAAGACTCAGACAGACAATAGATATTCAGATAGAGACACACAAAGACACACAGACAGACAGACACAGAGGTACACATATACAGACACAAGACTCGCAGACACATGCACGTGTAAGCATCCTATTGTGCGCACATGTAACAGCTGACAGCTGGGGGAACAAGATTCTCATGCCTCACTGGGCCCGTCCAGAAGGTCCCACAGCCCCCAGCCTGCAGTGCCCGGCTCGGCCCCTGCCCATGCACCTTACACTGCAGGTAGGTGGTCTGGGGCTGGCCCACATCATCCGTGTAGATGATTTGCATGACGTTCGAGGTGCCAAAGCTCTTCTCCTCCACCTTTTCAGCTGCGCGAATGCTGGCCAGCTTGATGAGGGAGCTTTTCTGGAGCCAGCAGAGGAAGGGAGGTTCAGGGCTCAGCTGAGACAGAGGTTTCCTAGCACTGGCCTCAGTCTTCCCTTCTGCAGCATGGGCTCATGGGAGAGGCACAGTGCCCACCCCTTCCAGGAGTGACCTTGGCCAGAACAGAGGGCAGACGGCTGGTGGAGTGCCAGGTAACCAGGAGAGGATGAACCAGGTCCTGGGGGCTGTCTAGACATGGAGCCTTCTCAGAGGCAGAAAAGCAAGGCCTGACCCCGATCAGCCCTGAGCCTCTGCATGAATGAATCTTCCCACTCATGTTTATTCTCTCCCAGGCTCTAAAGGTCTTATTCCATGTCCCCTGCCACACCCGAGTGGAATGCCATGTCATAGGATCGGATGAAATCCAAATGGGACAGAAAAACTACTCAAACACTCACATCAATGATGACCACACCCACCGACCTTGGTGACAAACCCAGCAGGGGCAGGGGCAGTGCTTGGGAGGAGGAGAGTGGGACGCCAGGAGAGATGAGACACAGACGCTCACACAGACAGACACACACACACAGAAAGATACACACAGACACACGGACACAGCAGAGGGAGCAGCGGGTCCTCAGTCCAGACTTGCTGCCATGCAGAGAGGAGGCGGGGTGGGGCATGTCTGAGGGGGCTTCACGGGAATGTGGAGGGCCAGAGCAGGGCGAGGGTGGGCCCTACCGGAACTAGGTTGCAGAAAAAAGCTGCAGGGATCACAAGAGCCAGACTGCTTCCTAGAGCTAGAAACACTGGAAAGTGGGAGACTTGGGTTTAGGGGTGAAGTCCTGTGAGGACCAGAAGAGATCTGGCGGCCCTGTAGGCTTAGAGGAATGCTACAAGCAGAGGTAACAGGGGTAGATGGCCAGCATGGGATAAGGAACTGCCAGAGGGCACCAAGAGGGGAGAGAGCCAGGTGGACATCAAGTAGCTATTAGAACCTCACAGCTGGGGTGTCGAAGACACACAGAACAGTCAGGGCCAGAAGGGCCATGCTGTGGTCTCCCAAAGGAAGTAGCTGGCGAATTCTGCCCACAATTGAGCCAAACAGAATCCTGGGCTAGGTTCTTAGAGATTAAGGCCCAGGAGGCAGCTAAAGGGGGAAGATGTATTTGGTGGTGGTGGTGGTGGGGTCATAGACCCCCTTTATGCATATGTCTTCCTTGTCAGTCAGGAACTCACGAAACCAGGAGAAGGCGGGACCATCCTAGAGCATGACAGCTGATGCCCTCCTTCCCCAGGAAGCCTCAGGAGCAGGCTCCCTGCTTGGCCCTAGCTCCCCTTTGGGCACCAGGACCCAGGGCCAAGCCCCAGCGTCAGAATTGAGATGCACTGCAGTCAGCTGACACCACAGGTGGTTTGAAACTTGATTAAATACTAACTCCTGCTCTTGAGTTAAGTAAGATTGGTCGGTTGGTTTTTCCTCTGAAGCCGTTCTTCAAATATGATGGCAAAATTAGGACATTTACTGATAAACAGAAATTAAAGGAATTTATAATGACTAACTTTACAAAAATGGTAAATGGTGTTCTTTGGACTAAGAACCAACAACAGCAGACAATAACCTGAATTTAACATACATAACATCACCCAGAACTCAGCCCAGACATAGAAGTAAAACAAGCCTGTAAGACTGAAAACAAGGAACACGAGATATCAACTTACAATGAAGTCTACTACAAAGCAAAAAGAGGGAATAGTGTAAATACAGAACTTCTAAAGTCCAAGGAATTCAAAATAACACAGACTATTTTAAATAGGGAAAAAATTAATAAATTACAGGGTAACCGCAAAGAAAATTAATACACCTTCACATCATAAGAAAAAAAAAAGGAAAATCAGCGAGTTAGCACAACACATTAACACAAAAGAAATGAAGAAAATGAAAAAAAGAAAACCCGCAAATAAAATGAACTCAGTACATAAAATGATGTGGAACAAAGAGCCCAGAAGTACCACAAAAAACCACACACCAAAATGACAGCACTTAATTCACATCTATCTATAATTACACTGAAAATAAGAGCCAGAGCAGAATGAATAACAAAACAGGATTCTTCAATATACTGTCTACAAGAGACACAAAAATATGAGAAACAAGCTAAATGCCCATCAACAGAAGAATGGTTAAACAAACTTTGGTACATTCACACAATGGAATATTACACAATGCTGAAGAATAGCAATGAATCTGTGAAACCCCTCACAATATGGATGAAGCTGGAGAATATCATACTGAGTGAAATTAGTCCATCACAAAAGGGCAAATAATGTATGAGATCAATGTTGTAAAAGGTTAAGGAGAAGTTTTCTTTTTTTTTAATTAAGTGTTTTTATTTTGGATTGAGTGAAAGTTTACAGGGCACATCATCAGCTTCACATTCAACCATTCATATAGCTTGTTTCATTACATTGATTATTATCCCCTCCATATATCATCAGTTTACAGTGTTTCTCTCTATCCTCTTTAGCTTTTTTTTTTTGGATGGGGGGGACTTGCCTTTTTGGAATTTACAGTCTCGGCTTTTAGGGAAGGTTTTTACATTTGTCTGTGGATATCCAGGGCTCATGTATGAGATTACTAACAAGCATTACTGAATAATCAGATGAGGGACAGTTTGCTATGTCTACTAGGTAGCTAAAGTCTGATCCTCAGAGCCTATGGTTTGGACCGTCAACAACGCTTGGGCCCACAGGGGCTTGGCCTCCTGACCGGGTCTGCACTGTCTGCATCTGAATCCTCCTTATTTATTGATTGTTTAAGGGACGCTGCCTGTCTTAGGTGGTAGGAGAAGTTTTCTTGATAAAAGAAACAATCTATGATGATTACAGGGAGTGGGAGGGAAGGAAAATTATACACGGGCTGGAGGGCACACCCATGACGTGGGTCACAGGGAAGGCAGTAAAACAACAAGGGGGGGCTAGCAGAGGAAAGATGAAGGTAGCAGGAGGCCAGGGAGGAATGCAAAGTTGAAGTGAACAGAGCTAAATGCTGTTAACTGTTGGTACATGGAGGGGATTGCAATCATTGTAATGAAGCAAAACTGTGATTTGTTGAATGTAAAACTGAAGATCTGCTCTGTAAACCTTCCCTCAAGTCACAATTTTTTTTTTTTTAATAAACTTATTGTCATCAAGTCAATTCTGACTCACAGTGACCCTATATAGAGTTTCAGAGATTAAATCTTTATGGGAAACAGACAGCTTCATCTTTCCCACAGCAACTGGTGGGTTCGAACCGCTGAACCCACAGTGTCACCAGGGCGCCTCTGGAATCCTCAGTAACCTGGTTGTTGTTATGTGCCCGTGGAGTCGGGTCCGACTCATAGCGACCCTGTACAGGGTTTCCGAGGCTGTAAATCTTTACGGGAGCAGAAAGCATCATCTTTCTCCCGCGGAACAGCTGGTAGTTTCGAACTGCTGACCTTGAGGTTCGCAGCCCCGAGTCGTAACCACTACACTACCAGAGCTCCTTCAGTAACCTGGTACATAGGGTCCATTCTTTAAATGTACAGACCGAGAACTCAAGACTCAGCGAGATGATGACTTCCCGAAGCAGAAATGGCTGAGCCAGAACTGGAACCCAAGACTCCAGAGATCTGCTCCAGCTCCTCACAGCTTTCCTGGTCTCCCGGAAACACCCCTCAGCGCCCTCTCCTATTCAGGCCCCTAATCAGGGCTGGACACTGCAGCCACTGCCCCATGACCCTTCTGCACAAGACTTCAGCATCACACAGATGGGAAACGACTCTTGTCACCTACAGAGCGCCCCAGCCTGGCCTCCTTCTACGACCCTGTAAGTCCTGGGGTGGGCTCCACTGAGGTCCACTCCTACCCACCTTGGAACTGGGCGTCTTAGCGAAGCTGAGGGCCTCAGTAGTGAGGGAGAAGTGGAATTTCTTGAAGGAGGAGGACATGAGAGGGCCCTTGCCCTTGGTCCTGTGGATGAATAGTGGGCCCTCCTTCACTGGCGGTGCCTGTACATTCAACGCCCGCTGCAGGTCCAGCTCTGCCAAGTAGGGAAGGAAGGGAGAAAACGGAGCCAGGTGAGCAGGAAAGAGGGCAGAGCACTGGAAGCTGTGGGAGAGGCCATGAGGCTCCGGCAGCCATGGGCAGAGCCGTGGGCGGAGCAAAGGAGATTGTGGGAGGAGCCGTAAGGCTCAGGCCGCAGTGAGCAGAGCCAAAGTCCGAGCAAAAGGAGGCTGTGGGAGGAGTCGTGAATAGCACAGGCAGCGGTGGGCGGAGCAAAGGAGAACGCGAAGGTGAGAGCCGGCTGCAAGCCGATGCGCTCACCTTCTTTCTCCTCAATGTCCACGAGTTTGGTGATGAAGTCCTTCATTTGGGCCACGCCCTGGCGCACAGTGGGCTGCAGGGGCTCCATCCATGCTTCCTTGGCTCTGGAAGCTGGCGTGTCCATGTTGCCCACGTTCTGTACCGCCTGGGGCAGGAAGGGTGGGTCTCCCTAGGTTAGGGGCCTGACCACTGCACCTGACCCTTAAAGCTGTACCATTTCAGCTGTGGAGATGGAGCCTGAGACGCCCATGATGCATTCCCACAGGACATCCCGGTCTAACTCATCAGAGTGAAGCTTTTGGGGACTTCCTACAGGCGAGACCATTTAGGGCTACTTTATTAAGCTTCCTCTGCAGGTTTAATAATGGAATCTTGGTGTCCCTGTAGATTAGGCATTGGCCTGTGGTTCAAACCCAATAGCAGCTCCTCTGGAGAAAAATGAGACTGTTGGTTCCATGAATAATTTGTCTAGGAAATTCTACATGAGTCGGAATCAACTAGGTAGTAGTGGGTTTGGGCAGGTTTCGTAAGGAGTCTTGGTGACACTGTGGGATAAGCATTGGGCTGCTAACCACAAGGTTGGTGGTTCAAACCAACCAGACACTCCTCAGTAGGAAAATAAGGCTGTCTGCTTCTGTAAAGATTTACAATCTAGGAAACCCTATATAGTATCTCTCCGAGTTGGAATCTACTCAAGCAGTGATGGGCCCAGGGAGTAAGTAGATCTGGGTTTGAAGCCACTGCGACACTACTGACAAGCTGTAGGACTTGGGCCTCATTTACTTTATCTCTGAGATTGGGCTCAGGTAGCTGCTCCTTGGAAACCCTATATAGGGTCACTGTGAGTCTGAACCGAACCGAAGGCACTTAACAACAGGCTAACTGTGCGAAACCTTTGTTAACTGTTAAGTACGGGGCTAGCTTGAGCATTATCAGTGGCCTGGCTGGAGACACACCCCAGTCCAGGCATGGATGGGCAACCTCTCCAACCCCGCACCGGGCAGCCCACCACTGTTCGCAGGTCCGCACCTTCGCCAACAGGAGCAGGGTGCGGCTGGTGCGGGCGTCTGCGTGTCGCTCCCGCAGGTGGAAGAGCTTGGGTGCCATGATGGCGGGAGAGAAGAAGCGCAGGCATAGGAAGCTGGTGACGGCAATGAAGGGCACATTCTGAAGGGACGACAGGGGACAGCCGGGCTGTCTATCCCCAGGCCTGGGTTCCTGAAGCACCCTGCCCACGGTCTCCATCTCTTCCCACATCCCTATCCCGCCTTGGCTCCTAGCACTTCACCCTTACAAAGATCCTGGTGCCCCTAGGGCCTCTACGAAGTCCCGCGCTCCCACTCCTTCTCTCCCCAACCCCACTGGGAGAGGGCGCACCTCGTGCTGGGCGCTGGGGAAGCGCTCACGCACACGCCGGAAGAGCTGGCGGAAGGTGGCGCGGACCACCGCGGGACAGGCGCGCACCGAGCGGCTGAGCGCGCTCAGCAGCGCCCCCAAGTGGGAGCGCAGCGTCTGCGCACTCTGCTCCAGCACCTCAGCTTCGGTCTGGGGGCGGTGCAACCCGGAGCACCTGCGTGAGCCGGGATGAGCCGGCAGAGAAAGGGGATGCGATTTGCGCTCGCAGTCACAGCGTGGGCAGATGGGAGAACAGGGTGAGAGACAGCGGCACAAAGACAGAAGGTGGAAACGTGGCATAGTCAAAGATAGGTAAATCCAGGCAGGAAGAGCCAGACACGCATTTAGCAACTGGATCTGACCTTCCCTCCTTCCCCAGGGCTGCCCCTGGCCTCACCCCACATCCTTGACCTCCACTTTGCTCGGGTCCAACTCCACATATTTCTTCTCCTCAAACACCCTGTCAATGATGGGGCCCAGGACGCCGTGCAGGTACCGCATCCCCGCCACCTGGGGACCACGGAGAGCCAGACTGGCCGCTTCCCCACCTCCAGCCACCTGCTCTTGGCTTCCTCCCCTCCCGCCCCCTGTACCCATACAGCATGGTGTAGAAGGTGCTAACCACACAAGTGGACGTGCACAGCTGCTCCCGGAGTGAAAGAATGGAATCCTTCACCTTAAAGAGCACCAGAGATAAAGGACCAGAGGTCAAGGTCCCTCCATCTCTTGGTCTCTCTTGGTCTCCTCCTGTATAAAGGACAATATACCAAGAAACTCACCTTCAGAAAAGATTCCATGGACTTTGAGGCCAGCGAGTTGCTGCGGAACAGGGTGTTGGCCTCACCTAAAAGGAGAGGTTCCACTGAGTGAGGGAGGGGCAATGCTTTCAGGAGGACAGAGGGCCCTGGGGCTGGGGGCTCTAAGCTGGACCCTAAGTAGGCAGCCAAATTGCTACCACCCCATCTACTGTACCACCTCTTTGCTCTTTGTCGCCTCACTTCTAATCTGACCCATCAGTCTCTTCCAGGAGGCCTGCCTAGTTCTCCGCCCTCCCTGCATCTCCAGCCCTCCTCACAACCACACCCTTGGACCAGCCTCACTGGTGCGACCCAGCTCCAGCTGGAAGAGCAGGTCCAGAAAATCCTTGGCCAGTCCCTGCCCCATGAAGAGCTTGAGCAGGTTGGTGGCCACCTCCTGGCGGCACGCCGTGCTGGTGGTCTCATCAATGAGTGAAATCAGCTGCCCTGGGCTCTGCAAGGAGGCAGCGAGGAGAGGCAAGGCTGGGGGAGGTGGGGGTGGGTGGGGCTTAGAGCACCACGGGGGTGGGGCACTTTCCCCAGGGGCAGTGAGGACAGGGCGCAGCACTGGCTAGCCCCTTACCATCCTGAGGACTTGGTTTTTCATTCTGTGGAGTGGGTTTAGGAGGACCCTCCCCCTCCCCCCAGGGACCCCTCACCTTGGTACCCAGCTTCACCTCCTGGCACAGCAGCTGCACCAGGGGCTGGTAGCAGCTGGAGGGCAGCACCGTCTCTTCCCGCAACCACACCTCCAGCTGCAAGGAGCCCAGCTTGCCCCTGGAATGGGCAGCCCATGACCTCGCCACCAGGGAACCAGGCCATCCTGGGCCATGGCCCCTCCCCAAGGCTTCCAGTGGCTCTCCCTAGGGGCCAGTCCCACAGTCTCTCTGCCCAGGCTGCTTTCTCTGCTCCTGCAGACTCCAAGCTTGGCCCCCATGCTCATATGGGGCACCCCAGCCTCGAGTCTGTAAACGCTCAGAAAACACTTCCCCTCACCTGTCTACTTTACACCTAGAGCAAATGCCCATCCACTGCTCCCTTCAGGGGAAACTGAGGTCCAGGCAGGCCGAGCAACTTGTTGCATTAGACCTAACGTCTAAGCTCTCTTACCCAAGCCTCGCCCTTGGCAAGTTCTGTGGCCTTGGCAAGTTCTGCCCAGACCCCTGCCCTGGGGCTGGGGGTCTACAGCAGCAAAGCTGAGTTACTGGGGACAGGAGTGGGATAGGGCATGTGGGGCCACTGTGAGCCTTCACTTTAGGATTGTTATTAAATGCTGTCGAGTCAGTTCTGACTCATAGCAATCCTGTATTGGGTTTCTAAGGGGCAGCTGGTGGGTTTGAGTCATCAACCTTGTGGTTAGCAGTCCAGTGCTTATCCTACTGAACCACACCAGAACGCCTTAGGGCTGATGAGTGGGGGGGCAGGAGCTTCCAGGAAACAATTGCCAGATTTAGAAAAACAAAAATATGATGCCTGGTAAAATGTGAAGTTTTTAGTATATTTCAAATATTACATGAACATACTTACCCTAAAACTCACTGCTTATCTGAAATTGAGTTGTAACGGGGTGTCCTGTTTTTACCTAGCAACCCTATTCTTGGAGAACCTCCTCAAGCAGTCTAAGCTATGGCTCAAGTATACCAACCGGGAGTCCTGGGGTCTGCAAGAAAATCTTTAAAGGAAAAGGTCCTAGGGGCGGGTTTGTACTGCTTTGAAGTACAGGGCTTAAGTCCAGGATACAGTGGGATAGGGCCTGGGATAGAGAAGGGTCCTGGCCTGGGAGATAAGAGCTGAAAGAAACCTGGACTTGGTTTACCTAGACCCCCTAACCAGCCTGCTGTAGGAACCCTCAGCTTCCTTTGGGGGCCAGCGCCCACCACCCTGCTGCCAGGCCCCCAGCACTCACTCATCCAGCTGGCTCTTGGATTTGTCAGGCTGCAGCCGGAACCAGCCCTCCTCCTGCTTGGCGGCCCACAGTCCTGGGACATTGAACACCACCTAGAGAAGAGAGCAGAGAAGGGCGGCCAAGCTGGGGTCGGATATTCTGTTGACTTCTTTACCCGCTCTTGGTCTTGTGGGGGAAGGGTTATTGTTCCAGGGTTCCTAGGTCCAAGCAGCATGGGAAGAGGGGAGTTTCTTGCTCTGGGGAGTCCCAGGTCTTCTGAGCGCCCCTCTCTGGGGAAGCTGGAGGGAGGGCCTTGGGAGGGGGCCGTATTCGGAAGGAGACAGGTGCTGCCACCTAGCGGGGTTCACCTTGCCCAGGAAGTCATTGCGGCTGACCAGGTCCCAGTCCCAGGCCTCAATGCACAGTGCCTCTGGGGTCCTCTCCTCCAGCTCAAACTCGAATGTCTCGTTCCAGCGTGGGTAGCACGATTTCTTCACAATCTGCCCAGAGAGGGTCAGCCAAGGTGGGCGTGACTCTACAGGGCTCCTCAGGCCCAGCCAATGGCAAAGCACCCCCCTCCACCCAAACACACGCCTTCTCCTGCAAAGACCCTGATGCAGCCAGGTGAAGGTCCCTTACACCCCAATTTCTCAGAGTGGGTGAGAGAGTTGTCCTAAGGCCACACAGCAAAACAGTAGCACCGGGGGTGAAGGCAGAAGGGTTGAAAGCCTGGGACCCTCTGTGATGGCCAACACTGAGTCTTCCTGTCCCTCCTGGCCTCCTCACCGATGTCTCCTGTGTGCGGCCATTGTAATGCACTTGGACGAAAGGGTCAGAAGCGCCATTCCGGTCCTTCGGGGCTAGGTCTCTGGAGAAGGGGAGATAAATAACTTGTCACCCAAGCTCCCTCACCTACCATTCTGTCACCATGAGATGACTGTAGCAGGGGAGAATCTGGGCTTCTTGGCTGCAGGGTGGCTGGACATTGCCTCTCCCCTCTGGACCTCAGTTCCCATGACTGTTGGCCCATTGTCCCCCATGTGACACCTCCCCAGATGGAGGACCCCTCCCAAAGTAGGTGCCACAGCTCCTTCTGACTGGACAACTGCAGACCAGCTGCTCCCACTAAGATGAGGGAGGGGTTGAAATTGTAGTCATGGCAACAGTTGGGCCATGGGCCCCAGTGCCCTGAGCCCTTTTCCTTGGCAGTGAAACAGAGATGGTAAATGCTACCTCATGGAGTTTTAGTGAGACAACAGGCTTCTAGAATATCTGCTTCACAGTAGGCCTTAACTGGAGTGTGTGGAGATGTGGGGCCTGGATTATCCTTCCCGTTTGCATAGATGGGGATTTACTGAGGCCAGTCTGCCCACAGCACGCTGACTTAGAACCCTCTGGAGAACCATGACACCAGTCCTTTCCTGTGTCAGAGAAATACTCCATTCTGCCCTGAGTTAAGCATCAGGCTATTGACCAGAAGTTCAAACCCACCAGTTGCTCCATGGGATGAGGCTCTGGGAAAGATGTATGACCTTGGGAACCCTAAGGAGCAGTTTTGTCTCTGTCCTATGGGGTCACCATGAGCTGGAATTGACTTTTGACGGCAGTGGGTTTGGGATTCTGGGTCTTTCTGCCTGTCTTCTCTCCTGTATTTTAAGGTTTAAACTGAAAGAAGCTTGGGACTGTCTCCTGCCTGCTTTCTGGCCCCATTCAGAACTTGGCCTTAATAATCTGTCTGGAAAGATGAGAAGAACATGCTTTCTTCCCCTGCAGCTTTTGTTCGGCCTCAGAAACCCAGCAAGGGTCTCATTGCTGCGGACAGCGGGTGGCATGTGAGGCCCAGTGTCCCTCGCAGTCTGGAGAGGAGAGGGCTGGGAGAGGATTCTTGGAGGGGCAGGAGGGGTAGGGAGAAAAACATTGGCGTTTCCCAGCTTGGTGGCTGGGTGGCTGGGAGGAAAGGCCCTGAGGCCTCAGGAGCTCGGCCCCAAGGGCCAGAGCTGTAGAAGGAAGGGGGTGAGCATAGGGTGGGGATGAGGAAGTAGCGGGCATCAGGAGGATTGTGACATCTGTCCACAGCCAGCTGATGATGGCCAGTGGTACTTCTTCACAGAGCAGCTTCAAAGTGAACGTAAAGGCCAAAGGGGGGAGGGAAGGGGTGTCACAAGCCGTCCACGTTCCTCCTAGCCCTTTCTTTTACAGGAGAGACACCCTCACCCCAGAAAGGCCGGCTGCCCACTGGCTGGATGCTGGCCTCCAGGCCCAAGCCAGGGAAGGACCCTGTGGAGGTGGCCTTGGAGCTCCCCCGGAGAGGAGCCGGTGATGCACACCCCCCAGGCCCAGTCGGGAGTGGACCTGCAGCTTAAAATACCTTGGGTGTGGGGGAGCTGCTACAGGTGATTCAGACCACCTATCTTCCCAGGTGACTCACGGTCCCCCATCCACTCATGCCATCTGGAGGGTCTCAATAACTCTTGCCACCCTCTCACCCCACTGATGGCCTCCCCTTACACACACAGTCACACATCGGGCCAGGTTTGTGGGGGTTAAACTCTCTCGACGACACCTGCAGTCCCACCTTTAGAACTTCATCTCTTCCCTTCGGTGGGAGGAGACAGAGGGGGCCGGGGCCGGGAGGGCAAGGTCCAGGGGCTCAGCATCACCCTCGCTTTCTCTAGTGCCCTGGGGTCCCTCAGATGCACTGTCCCGCTCTCCAGCTCCACCTCTCACCTGGCCTCCAATACAGAGCAGCGCAGCCGGGGGGTCCCAGGCCCAGGTACCACTTCCAGCCGCAGGTGGATCTCTCCCTGTACCTCCTCATCTGGGTCTACCTCCATCAGGTGGGCCCAGCCACTGAAACCTGCGGATGGAGGCTCAGCTGGGGCCAGGCCCTTTCCCTTGGCATGTCCCCCCGCCCTGTCATCTCCCACCAGGTACCCCCTCCATCATCCCTGAGAATCCTGAACACCTTGATTCCCGGTGATGGATGGAGAAACTGAGGCTGAGGAGCCTATACAACAGCAGGTGGAAGAAATCAAATCTGCCCTCACTACTGCATTCGGCAGCCTGACCCCCAACTAGTCATGGGATTGTCCTCAGTTTCCCCATATTAAAATAGGGGAAGAATGCCTCTTTCCTGGGGCAGTTTGGAGAAGGGCCTGAGGCCTGGCTGGGGGCATAATGAAGGACCCCAAGGAATAGCATCATTCTGGCTGCTGGGGCCCAGAGGGGCTGGCCGAGGCTGTGGGCAGAAGAGGCCTCTGGCCTGGCAAGGACCAGAGGCCCCATGAGTCAGCAAAGTCCCCTCCTCTCCCCCACCCCCACATGCCCGCCCCAGCCTCACGGACAGGAGCAGGTGTGTGCTGGGAGCCTGAGGAAACTCCTGGCTGGCCCGAACCCCCTACGAACTCCTGGTCTGAACCCTCGCTGGGACAAGGGCAGTGTCCATGTCAGCATCCCGAGTCCTGCCAGGGTCCTTCAGCCCTTAGATGTGCCCCCTCAAACTGATGACTGAGTAGTAGTGGGCCCAGGCTGAGGGGCCACAGAAGGAGTGGCCCAGTGGGGAGAAGGGGCCCCTACCCTTCAGCAATGGAGCAGAAGGGGGTCCCTCCCCTGCCTGCAGCAGCCACACATCCCACCAGCATCAGCACCTCATCACCCTAAAGACGCCGCCCCACAGCTACATGGGGGCCCAGAAGCAGGGGGTGCAGGGGCCACAGATCTGGCTTTGGGGGGGTTAGAATGGACTGAAGGAGCCTGAGGGGAGGCCTCCTGAGTGTGTGGAAGTCTGGGCCGCAGCACACCAGTGAGGGAGACAGAGAGCAGGATGGGAACAGGGCAGCAAGAGCTGGCCATGGACTCCCTCCCTGATAGCTTACCCTTAGGGTGGGCGGCCAGGATGTCCCGAGTCAAGCAGACCTTCCCGATGACGTCATCCCGGCTGGAGTGGGGAGCCAGAGTCAGAGCTGAGTGGGGCTTTAGTGCCTCTTCCCCTCCCACCCAGTTAGGGGCCCTACGGAGAGCACTCCAGCCATGCCAGCCACTTGGGGGTCCACAACAAGGACCAGTTCTGAGGTCCTTCTGCAGGCCCTGGGTTTTGGGCCCTGTCATGGCATGTGCCGTTTCTACACATGAACCAGCAAGTATGCCCACATACATGCCAAGCTCATGCTCTCTGGGTCCCCATTCTTGGCTCACACCGCCCCTGGGCACTGGTGCATATGATTCCTACACAGGCACATGTATGATGTGGTATAGGCACCATGAACCCACATGCAGACAACCACTTGCTCAAACCCTGCATCCGCCAACCCTTCCTGGGTTCCCCTCCCTCCGGGTACCAGAGGCCAGACACAGAAGGGCTGCAAAGAGGACATTAACCCCCCAGCAGAAGCAGCAGTGATGTGGGCCTACCCCAGGTGAAGAGTGGAACCCACCCACCTGAGGGCATCCTCATCCATGACGTAGAAGGCCACAGAGTGAAAGGTGGGTGGCAGGTGTACTTGATACTCCTCGCCCCAGAAGGGACACAGGGTCTTCCACACAGTGGCTGTCCTATAGGAGAGGACTCTTAGCAGCTCCCAGGCCACCCTACACCCTGGCTGTAGCAAGGCAGGAATGGTGAAGGGACCCACCCTTCCCACCCCTGATGATGACAACTGTCTCTGTGATTTCATATCTTCTTCTTGTCCCAGACCCCGCTTCCACCAACACGCATTCCCTCACTGAGGTCCCTCTACCCTGCGTGGGGCAGGGTGGTGTCCTTTCACATTTGGAGAGACTGAGAGGTGACAGTCACAGAGCTGGAACCAGACCTGCCTCCTAGCTCCAGTTCAGCTCCTGATGCTACATGGATGTGCAAGGGTGCAGGCAGGAGGCAGGCCAAGCTGACGCTTGGGGTCAGGCAGTCCTCCCAGGAAGCACTGGGATGAAAATCCATGACGTCTTGCCTGGACAGGTCTTCACCCAAATTTAGCCAAATCCCTGAGGAGCAGAGCCTTCAGTTCATGGGACTCCACGAGTGTGTGTGTGTTGTGTATGGGAGACCAAGTATGCAGTAAAGGGTTAACTTAAGATTTGGCCCTTGACTTGTTCCTGGGACAGAACCTTTAAGCCCTTGGAATATTTGAGTATTTTCTCCCCCAGGGGGCCATGAGTCATCCCAGACAGTGATGCTAACAATGTAATTTATGGTGGGAGCTTTGGGCCTTCACCATCCTCACAATTGTTATGTTTGAGTCCACTGCTGCTGCCATCGTTTCAATCCATCTCGTTGGGGGTCTTCCTCTTTTTTGCTGATCCTCCACTTGACCAAGTATGATGTCCTTCTCCAGGGACTGATCCGTCCTGACAACATGTCCAAAGCCCGGGAGACGAAGTTTGGCCATCCTGGCTTCTAAGGAGCACTCTGGTTGCGCTTCTTCCAACACAGATTTGTTGGTTTTTCTGTCAGTCCATGGTAATTCTTATCCAATACCATAACTGAAACACATCAGTTCTACAGTCTGCCTTTTGCTGTAAGAAACTGTAATTATAACCATCCTGGCCTTTTTGAGTACCATGAGTCCTTCTAGTGAATTATTAAGGCTGGTTTTGAGGACCCCAAGCAGCACAGTGGAGGACGAGGCACCCGGGAGAAGTGGATATAGGTAGCAAGGTGTAATCACAGAATATCTGGCTTATTGTAAGAGTTAGATAGAGACAGTGCCCAATTAAATTAAAGTCCTTGCTGCGTGGTTGTAATCCTTTTCATCTTTCCCTCCTGGAGTTGTAAAGAATGCACACGGACTAGAGTCCGGCCAGAGACTCCTGGCCCAGTGCCCAGCCCCACAGTTGGGAATCACTGAACAGGTGTTAAAGTGCCTGATTAGCATGATGATTACAGGGAGGTCTTCCTCCCCATCCTAGGAGATGTGTCAAGGCATGTGGGAGCCCCATTGGGAGTGTGAGATGGGGAAAAGAGGGTGGCCCAGTCCTGGGGGGTGAGCTGTACCTGATGATGGCCTCATTGTCCACCTTCACAATGCAGTAAGGGTCACTGCTGCCACCACTGCAAGACACAGGGCCAGAGGAGGGGCTGAGAGGGAGGCCAGCTGGAGGCGAGGCCAAAGGACCAGCCTACAGCCAGATCCCCTTTCTCTGCAGGGGTACATCTGAGACTCTGGGGAAAAAGCTTTGTGTGGGCTCCTGCACTGGGCCCTCGAGGCTTCTCAGCCTCCTCTCAGTCTGGGGGGGCAGGTGCCTACCAGCTGCCCTGCCCAGGTAAAGGGAGCTTCTCCCTGCCCATCCCACCCTCATCCCAGCTGGTTTGTTGTGGGGAGGAACATAAGTCAGAACAGCAGCCTTCTTGTAGGTTCCCTGTCACTCCTGCCCTGTCTCCTACCTGAATGTCCTCCCACGTCCCCTAGCCTCAGCCCCCCTTCAAGAGCCCCCTGTCTCAGAGGCTGGAGGCATTAGCTCTTGGGACCCTGCAGTGGCACCTCTCCCCATCACTGCTCAGGAGGCAAGGACAGCAGAACCTCCCCATCTGAGGAGCTACCTGAGGGTAGGGACCACTGCTGGGACCCCAGACCTAGTACGGGGTCCTGGGAGTGTTTGTTGAATGAGTAAGTGTCGGAGTAAACAAATCCCAGTCTTCCAGCCATCTGGAATAGACACGGAATGGGGAGAGCAAACCAAGGGCTGCTCAGTTCCATCTGTCTCTGGGTGTGGAGGGGTCCTGAATCTGGGAGGGCCGCAGCCAGGCCCAGGGATGGGACTGTGAAAAGGGAAAGAGGATTACCTAGAACAGTCCTGTGGCTTGGCCTGGCCACCCATTAAAAGGAAGTGGATTTACTCATGTGGCACAATAGTGACTAACTGCTATCAGGACTGACTGTGAGGGTTGGAAATGTAAAGGTAGACATTTTTTTTTTTTTTCAAAAGGAGAGGAATGGTTGACTTTTCAGTCCAGGAGCTGAGGTCTCTGGGACCATCAAGGGAGAAAAGCGGAGTGTGGGACCCTACCCAGAGAAACAGTGAGTGA